GAGAGAGAGAGAGAGAGAGAGAGAGAGAGATAATCTATCTCTATATTATCTATCTATCTATCTATCTATCTATCTATCTATCTATCTATCTATCTATCTATCTATCTGACACCTCTAGACATAAATACATGAATGGAAAGCAATTCAAGAACTATTTGCCCCAGAAATGTTTCAGGACAAATCACAAATGACATATAAGTCAGATACTCAGTCACTTTTTCTAGGCCAAGCAAGTAACCAACCATGAAGATTTGCAAATGAAATCTTTCAAAAAGTTATCAACTTGCTTTCTGTGGCTGATGCTTTTGTGTGATTGCATGCATCCTAGCAAAATAGATGTTTGCATTTGAAAGATGAAACCAAATGAGGCAGACCTAAAGTGGCAGGGTGTAATGACATTCCTTTTAATGACATGCATTAATTGCCATTCTTTCTAAGTTCAGTCTTGAAGATAATAGGGTCAGACATGAGGTCAGACACTTTGTCAGAGTACATTTACTGAAATTAATAGGCCAATGGTTTTTAAATTAGTTGTTATTGCTTTAAAACCATCGATTTAAGGTAAAATTGTTGGATTTTATTATGAAGTCAAGATCCAATCCTCAGCATGTATCTCCAGAAATAGGCTGCTGTATTAAATCTTTAGAAGAGATGTATTATCTGTATTGTAGTTGATAATGGTCTATAAGAAATAGTAACTCTGAAAAACCCTTCTATACAGTCTAGACTAGAGCAGGGGTGTCAAACTCGCATCATCATGGAAGCAGCATGTGATGTATCAGGACTCCACCTCCCCTTTGCTAAACTGGGCAGGGGCAGCATGTGAGGCATCTGGCCCTCAGGCTGTGAGTTTGACACCTCTGCTCTAGAGCAGTGGTGGGATTCAATTTTTTTTTTTTTTACTACTGGTTCTGTGGCCGTGGCTTGGTGGGTGTGGCAGGGGAAGGATGCTGTAAAATCTCCAGTCAGAGGTGGTATTTGCCGGTTCTCCGAACTACTCAACATTTCTGCTACTGGTTTTCCAGAACTGGTCAGAACCTGCTGAATATACCACCTCTGGTCTAGAGGCCTTCTGCATCATCTATATGAGGCTTCTTTGCTGAAAGATAGAAAACACCATTGCCCAATTCTTTACCTATTTCAGCATGTGTTCCCTTCTTTTCTAAAGCCCATCTGTTGGGAATAAAAGTGGGGTTAACCCCAAAATAAATATACTCATCAGCAGGCATGAGACAGAAGCTTATAATATACGTAGATACAGTGTGGGCTATCTGCATACGTATAAGCTCAAACAGTTCGGACATGAAACTCCTCAATACTTTCCATAAGAAGAAACAGTGAAACTGGGTTTATTACTAGGTTTATTACACAATAGGGGTCTCTTTAGTTTTATATAAAGGATATTGTTATATTGAAGGTAGATGGCTCTTTTCTTCCTAAAAGTAGAAAGGGAGCTTTACTAGGTCCTTATTTTTATCTTTAATAACACTGGACAATTTTAAAACTTGGTCTCCTCACATTAGGATGATGTTGTGGAGTAAAGAATTATTGTGAATTATTGATTTGGTATGCAATTCCAAAGATTGTTTGGCATCTATAATCAGCTGGGAGATAT